TGATCAGGAATTCCTGACCACTTTTTACAGAACACCATCTAGACTAGCGGCTCTGTATTTTGCCTCAGATGTGATCAGGAATTCCTGACCACTTTTTACAGAAAACCATCTAGACTAGCGGCTCTGTATTTTGCCTTATTCCTTACTACTTTTTAACAAGGAAAGCCTAGGTTTTTTTAACAGATACAGTACCAGAATAATGTAAAAATGTAATTTTTTATTAATTTCATGGCTTTAACAATGCACTCCATTTATGATAAAGGTGCTAGCTAAATAATTTTAAACTTGTAACTTCTCATATTCCTGTTTTAAATATTTGGCAGTTCCATGTTGCAATTTGTTCTTATCGTTCAGAGTAAAATCTGTTAGCAGTATACAGGATTTTGGAAGCTCGTCCGTCCATGGTTCGGGGGGGATTCCAGACATCCAAGGTTCCCATGGTTTCCTCCACGATCCCTTCCAATAGCACATTTGGAAGTTCTCGTCGGCCACTGCTATTACCTTACCAATGATCGGTGGCTTGCTATTTGCTTGAGCAATGGCGACAAAAACTCCTTCTTTCAGTGCATTTAGGTGATTTTCCACCTCCGTCACCTGCCCCGCTAGTGCCTGGGGTGCTTGATATCTTCCTGTGTAGGCCTATATTGGAAAAATTTTTTTTTAAATATTTTGGAAACAATTTCGCGGAAAACTAGTATTGATGTCATGACGTTCTTGGCCCAATAACTTCGAGTATGCGACAAATTTAATTAAAGGAATGCAACTTTCTCCCAGACTTATAAATTAATTACTGGGTACTCGAAATAACATTAGATGACGTTGCGTGTCACCTTTTCCATACTTTTCTTATTCAAATTCATACTAACGCCGCATTTACAAGAACGACTAATTTATATGTCATATCACCTGTGGAAGCGGAGCGGAGTGCTTTTCAACTAGGGCAGACACTCGTTCTGGGACATTGGAAGGCATCGGCACACTTGCCAAGCTGTTAGGGTTACTGTCAACACTTGCTGTGGTTTCAGATGGTTCTGTTGGTTGCTGGGCGTCTTTTTTGGTTTTCAGCTCGTCGAGTATCCAAGATAATGGGACTTCCTTTGGACCAAAGATTGTTTCCATTCTGTTTGTCAAGAAATTGTCCCACCAATCGTTGTGATGAATTTCAAACACAGCTGAAGTTCTTGTGAACTTTCCTATGTCGGTTGTCAGCCTTCTGAGGTCTATTTTATCAGCTGATGGCTCTGAAAGGCTTGGAGGGGCTTGTGGGATCTCTTGATCTGACTGTCAAAATAACATGCAAAAACAAAAGCTAACGAAAAATGTAGATTAATTAATGGGAGCTATTACTCATAATAAACAAGAAAACTTGTGTGTCTTGTTTACACCTCAACCGGTCAAAGTGTTCTAATCATCAACTTCCTCAAAATCAAAACCACTACAATTATTAAAAGAGCTCAAAAGGTAGTAATGAATAACAATTTAGATGGTATTGCTTTTGTTGTTGTTCATTGGATTTTTTTATCTTAAACCAGCAAACATTTATGAAGGGAATGAATTTAGTGTGAAAAGTTTAGTTCTGAGTTGCCGAATAGCATGCTTACTTTTAAAAGGACTAAGCATTCGTCTGTTTTCTTTGATGGTAGCCACTTATCGTCTGTTGACCAGTTCTTGTACCTCATTACCACATCCCCATTATCTCCTTTCCTTATAACGAAGCAATGAGGTTTGGTGATGTTGTGGATTTCCATTGTAACACCTGACATCCATGTTCCTATGTCGTAGATATCTTCTAAAAACTCTACGACTGGTTCTGGAGTATACGACTTTTTTACGCCATCCATAAGTTCTTAAAAAACACACATTAATTGATTAATTACGGGCATGCCGTAAGGCTTTTGCTTTGCATAATATTTAGCGCAACGTTCAGGCTCATAGTCGTAAGTAAATAATAATAATAATAATAATAATAATAATAATAATAATATTAATAATAATAATAAAAAACACCGTTGAGTAATTCTTTCACAGGCGATATAAAACCGCTCTACATGAATTTCTTACCATCTTTTAGTAACTTGTGTAGCAGTTTCTCCTTTAGCGTCGCACCAAGCAGCAATATTTTCACCTTGATTTTTCCTCTTGTCACTCGGAGAATGTTCAAACTTTTCGTTAGCTCCTAATTCCTCTGCCCACTCAGCAGCCTCTTTATTCATTTCTTTGTTGAGTGTCATAGGTGGAGCATCGTGGCGTGCGCGGTAATCATTGTGCGCTTTGAGTGCTTCTTGTTCAAATGCAGAGACATCTTCCGAGAAAATCCATCAAACACATTAATATCTAATGGCATATCTTTGACAAATACAACTTTATCAAAATTATGTTAAGAATGTTTATTATTTAAGGGAAAGAATGTGTTTTGTTTTGACAATAGAATCTCTACTTCATTTAGTTTTTAGGTAGCACAATCTGTTCATTTTCGGCTACAGCTAAAGTGACTTAATTTCGGGTCCAACTGCTCGCAAAAATAAAGCTAAGATGTTTAAAAATTTAACCTCTACGTGGAACATCTAGAACTTTGGATAGCAAATCCTTGCGGTAATGAATGAAAATTTAGGAAAATCTTCTTTGAACTGCTTATACAAAGAAAGATCAAACCTCGTCGAGGTTTCAGATATTGAAAAAGATCGTAAAGATATCAAAATACATACCTTCATTTCCCCCCGCTGATGGTGTTAGTGTAGTAGCGCCGCTACTTGATGTGGTACTTTGTTCACCGCCGCTACTTGGTGATGTTGGCTTGACTTCACCTCCTTGTGGGTTTGTGCTCTCTGCAGCACTTGGTGCTGATGTTGGCTTAGTTTCTCCACCACCCCCAGGTGTTGGTTTAGCTTCCCCACTGCCTCCCCCTGATCCAGTATGACCTCCTTCCTCAGGTGTGATTCTAATGTTAATGTCTACTTCAACTTGATCACCCTTAACCTGATATGTCCCAAAACCTGCCAAAAGAAACACCATTCTGTCAGTCGGTATTGTTATAACAAGGAAAATGGTGTCCTATCATGTATCTTTGAAAGTAAACTTTGATTATTTCTATACCGTATTCCTATAGTACAGAGTCGTTCGTTAGCGTAATCAAGTCTCTTTTTTGAGGCCAGTAAGACTTGTAAATACAGTGAAAAATGTCTGTTTTTCTATAATCAATGTATATTCTTTTCATCAATCGCTACTTGGCCGAGTTAGATTTTCTATTGAATGAATTGAATGAAACCTTTAGTTAAAAATAGATAAAAACCAGGGTAGTCCCTTCAGAACAAATAAAAAGCTCTGCTACTCCAATGGGAGCCCTGGAATGGATGAAGTCGCCGTCTATAGCCGTTTTATTCTAAAACTGATGATAAAGCTCAAACCACCTAACTCTTTTAGGAAATCATCAAATAAGGCATAAAGTTTTCATTTACAGATCCCCCATCAATTATTATTGCAGTTGTCAAATACCTTTTACTGATACATCATCTATCTTAAAACTTCCTTGTTTCATGTCGGCGCTGTTCGGCTGTTCTCCAGACGCGGATGGTTCATCCATTGAGAAACCTGCCTTGGAAATGGCTGAAGGGTGAGATTGCAGTGGAACACCTGCTTTATAAGTCGTTCGTATGTTCAGTGGACGGGTTTTTGGGCTGTCAAAGTGAGCTTTTGGGTTCGCCATCTCAGCAGCATACATGCGATACTTTGGCAAATTTGAAGTCAGTTTTCCTTCATAGTTGTAAGGATTACTAAGGAAGCTCTTTAGTGGATGGACCCCTGGCAGTGACTGACGTCTGTGAGCGCCTGTTTTGTAATAGTAGAATGGCCGTGCGTAGGGATTGCGTCCATCTGTCCTTAAGTAATGATGTAGCATGTGTCGGTAAGGGCTATACAGATATTGTCGCTTTGTAGGTGAATCTCCCTTCCTCGCCTCATCGACCAGGTGTTTGTGATGCCTCTTCTTTAAAGGTTTTCCTAAAAATGAAAACAATCTAATGAATTTGAATTTTCAAATAAAAGAAAAAAGAGTGTTGGAATTGTCGTAACTTGATCGAAGATGATTTGTACTTACCGAAACTGAAAAGATTAAGGACCAATAATACTTTTGCTATGAACAAGATGGAAACCATATCTCGATCTTAGGGTTAAAAAAAAGGGGAAACAATTGAAAAAAAAAACATGATGAAAAAAATAATGGTAGTTGTATGTTATTGATAGCTGTGTCCATACTTGAAACTGTAATAGAAAATTTTGCACTTCTGTAACTACTACACAAAACATTTCATAGTTGAATCGTAAACTAGACTAAATCCAAAAATAAAAATATTTTAAACTCGGTTATTTCATAGTGAACATGCGTAAATATGTTAAATCTTAACACATGCAAATTAAAGTTTCCAAAATCGTACCTTATTTGTATCCTCTGAATTTACCTACCTTTGACTTGAAGAAAATACTTTAAGTTGTTGTCTCAAGGTTGGACTTAATTTTAGAGTGGAAATTTATTATTTACTGTTTGCGGCCTACTGGTGTCAAACTGGTACAAAGGTCATGGAATTTTCACACATTGTTGATGCTAGGTCGTGCATAAAAATAAACTACAATCATATTAGCATTTTATTAGCAAACATTTTTGGGGGGGAATTCACTTAAACCTTAACACATTTTTTATTGTTCAGTAATTTAGTTGTATTGCTTCTATATTTATATTTCCGCTGTAAATTGAAATAAAATCTGCATTCCACCAGGGTTTCATAAAGACTTTATTGCACTGTGCAATTTCCCAGTTGCTTGTCAACTCAACGCCGTTGCGAGAAAATTTGCTGGATAATTTCATAGTGTAACAGTTTTTTTTCATTTTTGTTGTTGTTGTGCGTAGAGTTTCATCCCTACTTTTCGCAACGGACTGAAGCAACAAGCCATTGTGTATTACCTCTAGAGAGTTCATAAGGCGAAATATGTCATCCTCTTGTCTCTATCTCCAGTACTGATTCCATCCCATTGTCTCTATCCCCAGTACTGATGTCATCCCATTGTCTCTATCCCGAGTACTGATTCCATCCCCTTGTCTCTAACCCTTATCCCGTATTTTGACAGTACGAATGTTAGCATTAGATTCCTTGCATGTAATGTCAAAGTAGGTCGATTTGAAGGACAAAACGAAATTGTTATTGTTATGCCTTCAAAAATTGAGCGGCATTCTAACGTACTGGTAGGGGTCTTTAGGTCGGCGTAAAGTTTTTAAACATTGCCATTGTGATGTTAATATACCAAACATTCTAAAAAGTAAGTTTTGTCACTTTGCTTTATTAGATTGTCCGATTTATTTCTGGTTGTTAATTTAAGTAACAATCAACCAAAACTAAATTTAGCCATTACACATCAACATATTGTTTAAGAAGTAGCTAGTACAGTACATTATGATTATTTTTAGTTAAATCGTACTACAGTAGCTTTGGTCAAAGCTTCCTTTGATAACATTTTTCGCAAAGCTCCCCTGCATGTTTCCTGCTTTCTTGTATCGTGCTACATAATAAGTACACTTCATTCCATTTTGTTCGCTATCTGCCTTGCCAAATCCAAGCTCCACGCTCTCTTTCCAGACCAACTGGGTGAAATGTCCGGCACCACCCATATTTTCAGAGCCAAATGTATACCCTGGGTCACAAATCTCGTTGTACCTATATAAAGTAAAGTAAACGAGTGTTCATCTGCATCAAAATCAAGGATATAAAGTTTTAAAGTCGAGGAAATCTAGTATCTTACACTAAGACCAAGATGAAAATTTAAGGTATTTTATTTACCAGTTAGTTACAGCTTCTGTCGCGGTCTGTCCGGTAGAAGACGAACAACCATATGAAAGATTCTCTCCATTATTACCACGTTCTTCTTGAGAAGCGTGTTGTAGAGTTCCTAGATTTGCTAGGGTTTGGGCGTAGCTAGCAGCGGACTGAGACATCTGGGCGTTCAATGTCATTGCTGGTGCGTCGTGAACAGCTCTGAATTTATTGTGTAATTCCAACGCTTCTTTCTCAATGTCAGAGCCTTTGAACAATTTTTAAAAGTTATTAGTAACATTTTATTTTATTATTTTATACAAAAATAATAAATGGGTTGGATTACCTGTACTTGAAGACGGTGTTGTACCACTTGGGGCAGCGGTAGTCCCTGTAGAACTTGGTGTTGTTGTATTTGAGCCTGTTGGAGCAGAGGTTGTTACTGATCCTCCACCTGGGGCAGCGGTTGCTTCTGAGGCCCCTGGAACAGTGGTGACCCCTGGACTACTTGTTGTTTGGCTCGTTACTTTTGATGCTACAGGAGCTGCAGTTGTCTTTGAGCCACCAGGCGTTTGACCGGTTGTTGATGCAGGAGTAGGTTGCGCCTTTGGTTCGATATAATCAGGTGCTATTTTTATCTTAAGATCGATGCTGACACCATCTTTGTTTATATCGTAAATCCCTCCTCCTAATAATTGGAAAAAAACCCAGTGAAAACCATTAACTAAATGAACAACGACAAAGTGAAAACAAAAACAGTATACAGTATTTATGTCGCAGAAAAACAAAAACAAAAAAACAATTAAAGTGAATTTCAGTTTTTTCCTATATAAAATTCAAATTTATGGCGTTCAAGCAGTGTTCAAATAACGATGCACAGGAACCCCGTTATCAATGATATAACTGGCATCACCTCACTAGCTTAAAATGGCTTTGTTTCCTGCCGTTTGGCTCTGTGGAAAGTGGAATATGAACTAAACTAAACTAAAATACCGTTTTACGTGATTGCTGTGTAGGAATCCAATACCATTAATTCATATATATTTGTCCCTTTCGATTTTGAATTGCTGTATGGATTTAGAATTCTTAAGAGGCAATGTCCGCAAGAATCAAACAAATGGTGGCAAGGGTCAAAAACTCAAATTCGCTCTCCTTTAGAAATTAGATAGGTCAGCTTTATTAAATATGAATCCCAGCATAGTCAGTTTTCAAAAATATTATTTCATTTTCGAGAAAACAGCCAGAGAAGAGGTTCGACCGAAGCCCAGGGAAGAGGCGCTCATGAAGGTTGAAGATGGCAAAACTTTAAACAAAGCGCATGTAGAAAGTAAACCATTTATGACAACTTCTGAACTTTCTACTTAATTTATCTTTCTTTTTCGTTCATTGGACTGGAYCTCAAGCTTATTGGGAAAAGGAACGAATTTCTGGCGAGGGAGACTAGGAGGCCTGCGTTAGTTAACTCAAAAGAAAAAAAATAGATCTCTAGATCTCTGATTTAATCATATTTATGCTGCAAGTCGAGAAGAATACATGTTTTTAAAACTGTAAAGATTGATTTGGAGGAAATTAATTCTGGCCTCATAGAAACCTGTTGAATTTGGATGAAATACATGTGAAAATTAGGCTTCTAATCAATAAGGGAATAAGGATTTTCATAAAGATTGCCAAAAAAAATTACACTGAGAACTAATTAGAAATTATTGAATATATTGTGAAAGTTCAGTGTGGTTTGATAAATCTAAGCTCCATTAGAAAGGTTTTGGGATAGCCAGGTATCCGTCGGTTATATGCTAAAGCTACGTTTAGAATATATGTGCGTGGCTTAGGTAAATCAAGTTTCCTGTTAGAATCTCTTAGGTAGTAACATTTTTTATATCGATGGAAGGATTTTGTAGGTACCACGGGGCTTGTTTGTTTAAGGACTTAAACATCAAGATGGCTTTTTATTTCTTACGTCGTCTTACTGAAAGGTTATCCAAGTGTAAAGAATCAACAAGCGTATTGAACCTCACTTCATAACCTGCTTTCATTATTACTCTAGTTGAACGGTTTTATAGGTTGTAATTTGTCTCTTAATTAGCCAATTAACCCATCTCATATTGTATTGCAATAGTCAAAATAAGGAGGGATTAAAGCATTGTAAATCTACACAGCAGCAGAGTGAAAGACTGGATATTTTAAAAGCCTTCCTGTTAATTGATGGTTTTCAACCATTGCCAAGAGAATTAAATAGCAGAAGACACGGCGGCCATGTTGGAGGATATAACAAAAGAATGCAATGCAATGCAATGTAATGTAATGCAATGTAATGCAATGTAATGCAATGTAATGCAATGTAATGTAATGTAATGTAATGTGGTTAGAATCAATTGTTTTGTCTCATTTCTTCGATAGTGACTATGATATTTTGATTATAAAATACAAAGAACTGGTATGAAGCAATGTTTAGTGTTGAGTAGGTGGGGTCCGGCAAAAATCCACAAAAATATAATACTTCCTATCCGAACATTAGTAGACCTTTGTGGATTATTTCATTAAAGTTTCAGATCAATTAAAATTAAAAATAATTTCGTACTAGTCCCCATTTAAAGGTTGTCCTTATGTCAAGTGGGTTAATGTCAATCACACAGGTACAATGGTGTGGTGCCCCTATCTATAAGAAGATCTAGACTTTCTTAAAAGTTTAGTTAGTTTTACAATTTATCGTAAAATAACAACAATATAAAAGAATTGAAAAGTTAAATAATAAGAAAGGAACAATATTTGAGCGAGAGAGAAGATCAGATATTTTATCCCATTTGGCACTTACCGTTTACAAAAATTGTAATGACTAGTACTGTTACATCTAAAATCATAAAAACATCAGTGTAATACACAATATTCTTACCAATCACTTTTCCATCGTCGATTTTAAAACTACCCTGTTTTATTGGCTGATCTGATACACGGTCAAACATCGAGACTTTGTTTCGTTTCAGAAAAGCAAAGTGTTTTTTCCCTGTATTAGAATCCATTTGCTTGGAGTAGAAAGCTCTCGGGATGTCTTTCTTTTTGGCAATGTGTCTGGAAGATGGTTCACAGATACCCAGGACAAACCCTAAAAAACATGTTTGCAATCGATAGTAAACTCAAGAGCGTGCTTATAAAGAATCCCTTATATTCTAACGTTATTCCATTGTACAATTTGATTACAAGTCTCCTACAACATCCTCATCTTTATATTTTGCTTGATAACCGATTACCTAGCTCTGAAGCCTGGAAATACTCAATATACTACATGACTATAAGATATTTTACCTGACATTAGGAGTAGCACCATCCAGTATGGAAACATCTTCGGGCATGCACCGATGGAGCTATATTAAAAAAAAAACAAACGACACACAAAGCAATTGATTTTGAGAAGTATCGTCGAAAAAACATTTTAAGTGAAGCGAAAAAAATTTACAAACTTGCAATGGCCTCAATAGTAAAATATTCGAAATATTTATAATTATTTTAAAATAAGTTAAGTCTATCAAACCTTTTACCCGAAAGCAATAAAATGTTATAGAGTGAGGAATGCTTAATCAAGAACTAGAATGGAAGTAATTCTCTTCGTTTGGTAGCATTATACGATTTCTAACGGCTGCAGGTGATCACAGTCATAATCATGACCTTTTTATTTTCTTCCGATACAGGTACAACCACAGGGAACCCGTGTTTTGAAGCCTGGTTTTATATTTTAATAAGGTCTTAAGGGTTTGAGATCGATTGCTGTAATCTGATCTGGACTGGATTACCCAAAAGTCCACATCTTATTACAGTTTATGTAACCGTAAAGCAATCTCAAACTGTGAAAACCGTGAGCAGACTCCTGAGCAAGTGTACAGGCAACATGAGAGTGAAAAGAAACGCCAATATGCCAACAGGGTCATGGAGGTGGAACAAGGAACATTGACGCCGTTAGTATTTAGTACAACAGATGGAATGGGCACAGAATGCAAGATTTACCACAAACACTTAGTTGGGCCCTTATCGATTAAGAAGGGAGAGATCTATGCAAGCACCATGTCATGGGTTGGAGCCAAAGTGTCATTTTGCACTTGTTCGTTCTGCTCTGCTGTGCCTGAGAGGATCACCATCTATTAGAAGAACACTTGACACTCAAAACGTGGACTTCTCCCTCGATAACGCTAACGCCCACATTTTTATAAAAAAAGGTTTTATCGATTTGCTTTTTTTTTATATTGTATGTAAATATAAGACCGATATATATCTGCGCTAATTTTAAACTTGAAATTCATTTAGCAATTATTCTTTTAGTATTTGAAAAAACGTTTTCAATTATATTATTATTATCATCATCATCATCATCATCATCATCATCATCATCATCATCATCAT